AATGACATTTGTCTGTGTGTACTTTGAAGTATACTTTAAGGCTTCTCCACATGCATTGAAATTGTAGCATACTTCAAGGTTCTTCAAATCCCAAAGCGTGGTGGAGAGTTTAGGTGGTTAGGACAAGGTGGTCGTTCGGTCGGTCGGTCGGTCACACAAATGTTGTGTTAGGAATTTAATTATTACATGTGTGTTCCATTTTATGGGAAAAAATGGTGAGTGGTAGCTTAGAAGTGAATAAGTATTGCATACTCTTAGGTGTTAGGTTACCAGTATTTTTTTTTCTTTTTTTCATTTTTTCAATGGACTTAATATTTTACATCGAATGATAACTACAACAGTGGTGTGTGTGATGTGATAGTGAAGTAGTAGTAGGTGGTAGGAGGGAGGGAGGTGGTAGGTGTAGTGTAAGTGAATAAGTATTGCATACTCTTAGGTGTTAGGTTAAAACAAAAACAGGTGTTATTTTCAGTTACCAGTATTTTTTTTTTTTTTTCAATGGACTTCATATTTTACATCGAATGATAACTACAACAGTGGTGTGTGATGTGATAGTGAAGTAGAAGTAGGTGGTAGGAGGGAGGGAGGTGGTAGGTGTAGTGTAAGTGAATAAGTATTGCATACTCTTAGGTGTTAGGTAGAGTAGTAGTAGTAGTAGGTGGTAGGAGGGAAAGTAGGAGGTAGGTAGTAAATAGCTGAGTGATAGCCTTGCATTATTCCAGTGATGTGTGTGTGGATCCTGTGACCTGTCAGAGACAACATTATAATATAATTTCCGGTACTAGCAAAAAGGTGGACATATTTTTTTATTGTTGATAGGAGGGGGTCTCCTGAAGGTCCAAGAGACTCTGTTGCTGGCCTTTGAGGTTTATTAATGTTGAAGACAATTTTTTCACAGGAAACAAATATTGATTATGAATTGTTAGCAGATATTGGATAGCAGTTTTTTATATTATTTATCGAACAAATGTAGCATATTTTTGGGCATAGTAGGTGATAGGAGGGAGAGTAGGATGTAGGTAGCCAATAGCTGAGTGATAGCCTTGCATTATATCAGTGATGTGTGTGGATCCTGTGTCCTGCCACAGACAACATTATAATATAATTTCCCTGTACTAGAAAAAGGTGGGAATTTCTTTTTTTATTGTTCGTGGGGGCCTCCTGCTGGTCGAAGTGAAGTGACCCTGCTGCTGGCCTTTAAGGCTTATAAATGTTGAAGGCAATTAAGACGGGTTTTTATTGGAAACATATTATTGATTATAAATTATGAGCAGGTAGTGAAAAACAGTTTTTTCCAAAGAAAATTTTGGATTTTTTAAAGCTAAATTAAAAATGTAGCATACTTTTGGGCATAGTAGGTGGTAGGAGGGAGAGTAGGATGTAGGTAGCGAATAGCTGAGTGATAGCCTTGCATTATATCAGTGATGTGTATGGATCCTGCCAAAGACAACATTATAATATAATTTTCGGTACTAGAAAAAAAGGTGGGATTTTTTTTTTGTTCGTGGAGGCCTCCTGCTGGTCGAAGTGAAGTGACCCTGCTGCTGCAGCTTGCCTTTGAGGTTTGTTGAAATGTTGAAGGCAATTAAGACGGGTTTTTATTGGAAACAAATTATTGATTTTAAATTATGAGCAGATATGGGATAGAAGCCTTTTTCGTAAGAATATTTTTGATTTTTTTTTAAAGCTAAATTAAAAAATATTTATCGAACAAATGTAGCATACTTTTGGGCATAGTAGTTGGTAGGAGGGAGAGAGTAGGATGTAGGTAGCGAATAGCTAAGTGATAGCCTTGCATTATATCAGTGATGTGTGTGGATCCTGCCAAAGACAAAGGATATTGGATTGAAGGATTTTTTTTTTGAAGCTAAATTAAAAAATATTTAGCCAAAAAATATAGCATACTTTTGGGTGTCAATTTTAAAACGATATTTTTGTGCCTTTTGATAGACAAATTTCATTTGTCTCCTATTAAAAATACTTTGTAACCCAGAAAAAAGTAATAAACCAAATTGAACCCCACAAAAGTAGGCAACATTATCTATTTAAATTATACTTCACACACACACACACACCTAGATACCAAATAGCTGGAAAATAATTCCCAGAAATGTGTCTCTATCTTCTATTTTTTTTTTAATAAAAAATATGGTTTTAAAATAGGTAACACCTCTAGCACCCACCACCCATCCAGCCCCTGGGGATATGCTTTAATGACAAGCATATTTATATATTTTTTTATGGCATTATGGGTGTTGATGATGACATCGCTACAAAAAGGTGACCGTCATGCTACATTATTTTCAATGCTGAGTGGTTTATGGTTCACAAAGTTTATACATTTATTTTTGTTGTTCTTGAACATCAATAGACCACCGGCATTGAAGACCTAAAATAAAAACAGCCTAAATGTATGCCAAACTTATTTTTATATATGTATGAAGTATTAATATTCGAAAATGACCTCCATTGGCCATCCATTGCTTTTTGAAGGGTGGTGGGCAGCCGGGCAATAGGTATTTGTTTTATTTATTGTGCATTCTACATAGGATCCTTTTTTCCATTAGTTTTTAAGCATCATCAAAAAAAATTGTTGCCTACTTTCAGGGTCAGATTTTTGTTTGTTCGATTTTCATATATTTTTTTTTTAATTACTTTGAGGTTGAAATGTATCATCTGTTGTCTTTCGATATTTTATGATAATGAGACCAATATTTGTAAAAAGGTTTCGATGCTATGTTAATAAATTATTTTTTAAAGCATACTTTTAGGAAGTAAAAGAAAAAAATTTTAATACTGATTTTGTTAAGAAAATTGACATACTTTTAAAATCGACGCTTCATATTAGGGCTTGAAAAAAAATTATTTAAAAAGTCCACGCCTTATATAGACCCCGAAAAAAATTATTTAAAAAATTCACGCCTTATATAGACCCAGAAAAAAAATATTTAAAAAATTCACGCCTTATATAGACCCCGAAAAAAAATTATTTAAAAAATCCACGACTTATATAGACCCCGAAAAAAATTATTTAAAAAATTCACGCCTTATATAGACCCCGAAAAAAATTATTTAAAAAATTTACGCCTTATATAGACCCCGAAAAAAATTATTTAAAAAATTCATGCCTTATATAGACCCCGAAAAAAATTATTTAAAAAATTCACGCCTTATATAGACCCCGAAAAAAATTATTTAAAAAATTCACGCCTTATATAGACCCCGAAAAAAATTATTTAAAAAATCCACGCCTTATATAGACCCCGAAAAAAAATTATTTAAAAAATTCACGCCTTATATAGACCCCGAAAAAAATTATTGAAAAAATTCACGCCTTATATAGACCCCGAAAAAAATTATTTAAAAAATTCACGCCTTATATAGACCCCGAAAAAAATTATTTAAAAAATTCACGCCTTATATAGACCCCGAAAAAAATTATTTAAAAAATTCACGCCTTATATAGACGACGAAAAAAATTATTTAAAAAATTCACGCCTTATATAGACCCCGAAAAAAATTATTTAAAAAATCCACGCCTTATATAGACCCCGAAAAAAATTATTTAAAAAATTCACGCCTTATATAGACCCCGAAAAAAATTATTGAAAAAATTCACGCCTTATATAGACCCCGAAAAAAATTATTTAAAAAATTCACGCCTTATATAGACCCCGAAAAAAATTATTTAAAAAATTCACGCCTTATATAGACCCCGAAAAAAATTATTTAAAAAATTCACGCCTTATATAGACCCCGAAAAAAATTATTTAAAAAATTCACGCCTTATATAGACGACGAAAAAAATTATTTAAAAAATTCACGCCTTATATAGACCCCGAAAAAAATTATTTAAAAAATCCACGCCTTATATAGACCCCGAAAAAAATTATTTAAAAAATTCACGCCTTATATACCCCGAAAAAATATTTAAAAAAAATTCCCACCTCTTATAAGCCTCGAAAAAATTATTTAAAACATTCACGCCTTATATAGACCCCGAAAAAAATTATTTAAAAAATTCACGCCTTATATAGACCCCGAAAAAATTATTTAAAACATTCACGCCTTATATAGACCCCGAAAAAAATTATTTAAAAAATTCACGCCTTATATAGACCCCGAAAAAATTATTTAAAACATTCACGCCTTATATAGACCCCGAAAAAAATTATTTAAAAAATTCACGCCTTATATAGACCCCGAAAAAAATTATTTAAAAAATTCACGCCTTATATAGACCCCGAAAAAAATTATTAAAAAAATCCACGCCTTATATAGACCCCGAAAAAAATTATTTAAAAAATTCACGCCTTATATAGACCCCGAAAAAAATTATTTAAAAAATTCACGCCTTATATAGACCCCGAAAAAAATTATTAAAAAAATCCACGCCTTATATAGACCCCGAAAAAAATTATTTAAAAAATTCACGCCTTATATAGACCCCGAAAAAAATTATTTAAAAAATTCACGCCTTATATAGACCCCGAAAAAAATTATTTAAAAAATTCACGCCTTATATAGACCCCGAAAAAAATTATTTAAAAAATCCACGCCTTATATAGACCCCGAAAAAAATTATTTAAAAAATTCACGCCTTATATAGACCCCGAAAAAAATTATTTAAAAAATTCACGCCTTATATAGACCCCGAAAAAAATTATTTAAAAAATTCACGCCTTATATAGACCCCGAAAAAAAATTATTTAAAAAATTCACGCCTTATATAGACCCCGAAAAAAAATATTTAAAAAATCCCCACCTCTTATAGGCCTCGAAAAAATTAATTAAAAATCCACGCCTTATATAGACCCCGAAAAAATATTTAAAAAAATCCCCACCTCTTTTAGGCCTCGAAAAAATTAATTAAAAAATCCACGCCTTATATACAATTTGCGGGTTTTAAAATTTAAAGCATACTTTTAGGCTGCGTTTTTATATTTTTTTAATAATATTTATTAATCTCTTTTTGTAATTTTTCTTTTTCTCCTTCCCAGATGATGTCGAACGTCTAAAGCCCCAGAAACGCGGTTTCTTTCAATCGATTTTATGCTGCTGGCGTCGCAATCGTACAAAAACAAATCAAAATGGCACACCCATTGATGGTTCGACCACACCGCCACCATTACCGGACCAACAACGGTATCTCCTACCTCAGGTTAGGCACTCGGATATGCACAAAAAATGCATGGTCATCGATTTGGATGAGACATTAGTGCACAGTAGTTTTAAGGTAAGAGAACAGATATTTTTTTATTTATTATTTTTTTTTTTTTTTTTGAAAAAAAAATAATTTTAAAATTTAAAAAAAAAAATTGAAAAAAAAGTTTAATTTTTTTTGAAAGTTAATAAAAAAATAGAAATCTAAGTTTTTTATTGTATGAACAGGGATTTTTTAATTTATTTTTTTTGAAAAAAAAATTAAAAAAAAAATTGAAAAAAAGTTTAATTTTTTTTTTTTGAAAATTAATAAAAAAAATTAGAAATCGAAGTTTTTTGTTGTATGAAAAAAAATTGGACAAATTTTTTTTTAAATTAAAAAAAAATTTTGGATTTTTTTTTTTTAATTAAAGAAAAATTTAGAAAACGAAGTTTTTCTGTTGTATGAAAAAATATTTTTGGAGAATCTTACGCCTTTTTGATTATCCTCAAAATTAATTTTAAAAAATCAAGCTGCAGTTTTTTTCATCTATTTTTATCCTACCTCCGAACCCCCTCACTACCACTTACCTTCGTTAAATATCTATAAATATAAACACACACAATATTTCCAACTAATTTTCCACCTTCCCTCCCCACACACACGCACACATTCCTTGTTAGTGGTGGTGTTGGCATTTACTTGTCACTAATTTATCCTGCTATTACGTCCTTGTCAAGGCAACTCCGACCAACAACAACAACACGATTGTGTTCCTGATATAGTCTGCAAAGTTCAAAGCAATAAATTATTTGCTAAGACTAAAAATAGAATAAAGTTACCTAAACCATTTTCCAGTAAGGAAAGTAGTAAAGTCGGGCTGGGTCGACTATATGATACCCTTCAGCACTTTGGGTACATATGTACCCTTACAATTACATGTCAATGTTCCCTTGAAGGGATATACTCATATCAATCTGCAAACTATGAGAACGTTAATTTCATTCGGGCAGATTTAGAGAGTAAAATCGGAAGAATACGAATATGTATATGTTGGAGCTATATCGACATCTGAACCGATTTTCCCGAAACTTACCACACATCATTCTAAACTCAATTCAGTACGCCATGCCAAATTTCGTGGAAATCGAAGAATATATAGGGTCTTTTGTGCGCCATTTACATAAAATCGGACAAAAATATATATGGGAGCTATATCAAAATCTGAACCGATTTTCGCGAAATTTAACACACATCGTTCTAGACTCAATTCAGTACGCTGTGCCAAATTTCGTGCAAATCGAAGGATATATAGGGTCTTTTGTGCGCCATTTACCTTAAATCGGACGAAAATATATATGGGAGCTATATCTAAATCTGAACCGATCTTCACGAAATTTAACACACATTGTTCTAGGCTCGATTCAGTACGCCATGCCAAATTTCGTGCAAATCGAAGGATATATAGGGACTTTGGTGCACCATTTACATAAAATCGGACAAAAATATATATGGGAGCTATATCTAAATCTGAACCGATCTTCATGAAATTTAACACACATCATTCTAAACTCAATTCAGTACGCTTTGCCAAATTTCGTGAAAATCGAAGGATATATAGGGTCTTTTGTGCGCCATTTACATAAAATCGGACGAACATATATATGGGAGCTATATCTAAATCTGAACCGATTTTCGCGAAACTTAACACACATCACTCTAGACTTCATTCAGTACGCTCTGCCAAATTTCGTGCAAATCGAAGGATATATATGTACTTTGGTGCACCATTTACGTAAAATCGGACGAAAATATATGTGGGAGCTATATCTAAATCTGAACCAATCTTCACGGAATTTAACACACATTGTTCTAGACTTTATTAAGTACGCTATGCCAAATTTCGTTCAAATTGAAGAATATATATGGAATTTGGTGCACCATTTACCTTAAATCGGACAAAAATATATATGGGAGCTATATATAAATCTAAACCGATTTTTCCCAATTTCAATAGGGTTCGTCCTTGGGCCAAATAGATGAGCTGTGCCAAATTTCATCCAATTCGGATAATAAATGCGACCTGTTCATTGTTTACAATTTAACATGGACCGATGGAAAGACGGACGGACGACTTAAAAAGTGATTCTATGCATATTCTCAAAAGAAACCATGTGTCGATCTCGTTTCCTTTTGCCTGTTACAAACATCTGCAGAGTGGTGAAGGGTATAATAAAAGAAATTGTAAATATTTTGTTTTATTGTGATAGTTTCCCAACACTCCCCACCTTCCAAGGAATTGCTTCCATTATTCCACTCTTTCATTTTCGGCAATAGTCGTGAATCATGAAAATAGTTCGGGCTTTTTTATTGGGAACTTGTTTTTTTTTTTTATTTCCTGAATTCGTTTTCCTGCATTCCCATTAACAACAATTAATAGACCCAATGATGATGACTCATTTGTGGTGGTGGCTGTCACACTTGATAGGACAATGTAAGGTTTCATGTTGAGGAGGTCACAGAAAAAAATAAAAAAATTATTTAAAAAATCCACGCCTCGTATTGCTTTCTTACTTTACTTAGCTGCCTTGTGACAGAACTTTCCTTCCATAAGCGGAGCTTAGAAAAGATTTCCAGGCGCTTCGATCTTTTGCGCAGTTTTTCCAATTTGAAAAACCATTTTCGGCAATGTTGTCTTCGACTTGATCTTTCCAACGTATTCGTGGCCTTCCCCTTCTGCGTGAACCATCAGCTGGGTCGCTTTTATATGCCTTCTGGCCTTCTGGGCATCTTCATCCATCCTCTCACAACATGACCTAGCCAACGTAATCGCTGCAGCTCAATACCATACTAACAATGTCGATGTCCGGGAATAGCTAGTAGTACAACTCATGGTTCATTCGGCGGCGATATTCACCGTCAACGCAGATCGGCCCATAGATCTTTCGGAAAATTTTTCTCTCAAACACTTCAAGAGCTCCCTCATCTGCTCGCGCAAGTACCCATGCTTCCGATTCATATAAAAGCACGGGTAGAATCAGCGTCTTGTTAATTGTGAGTTTGGTCTGGCGGGAGGTGGCCTTGTTTCTAAACTGCTTACTTAGACCATAGTTGCATCTGTTGGCCATCACTATCCTTCTCCGAATTTCAAAACTGATGTCATTCGTTTTGTTTATGGCTGTACCAAGGTATATAAATTCTTTGACTACCTCGAAGCTGTAATTCTCAATTTCCACAATTGGTCCGAGTCTACTGGACGTCTTGCGCGTTGATACCATCAGTTTGGTCTTCTCGCCGTTTACTGCCAGACCCACTTTGGCAGACTCCTTATTAATTGGTTTAAAGGTGGTACCATTATGTCGATGTCATCGGCGTAGGCAAGTAACTGGTGTTGTTTGGTGTACAGAGTGCCATTTCTGTTCACTGTTGCCTCTCGTATGACCTTTTCCAGCAGGATGTTAAAAAGATCACACGACAAACTGTCACCTTGTCTGATTCCTCGTTCGGTATTAAAGGGCTGGGCGAGTGGTCCTTTCCGACTTTAAGTGCTGATCTTGTGCCAGTTAAAGTTATTCTGCATAGCCGAATTAATTTTGCAGGAATGCCAAACGCAGACATGGCTTTAAACACCTCTGAACGGATAGAGGGCTATCGAATGTGGCTTTATAGTCGACGAATAGGTGGTATGTGTCGATGTGTTTTTCATGGGTTTTTTCCAGAATTTGGCGTAGAGTGAAAATCTGGTCAATGGTGGATTTACCAGGTCTGAGGCCACATTGGTATGGTCCAATAATGTCATTGACCATTGGCTTCAGTCGTTCACACAGTACGCTGGATAGGACTTTATATGCGATGGGAAGGAGACTTATTGGCACATATCGTATTGTCTCCTTTGGTTCCAATCATTGGGCAGTCATTCCTCTAGCCAAATTGTACTAATTAGCTGGTGCATGCTCCTGACCAGCATCTGTCCAGCAGTCTTGAATAGTTCGACTGGTAACCCATCGGCTCCTGCTACTTTATTGTTCTTGAGCCGATTGATTGCTATTCTGACCTCATCTTGGCTAGGTAGTATGGACTCTATACCAACATCTATTATTGGTGCTGGAGTATCCTCTTCACCGCTACTATTTGATACCAGAAGTTTTTCAAAATGCTCGTTCCATATCCTCAGCACGCTGTCCTGTCACCAGGTTTCCTTCTTCATCTCTACAGGAGGATGTGCCTGCACCAAAGCCTTCGGTTTGGTTTTATACCCGTTGGTAGAATTTTCGGACTTCATTCTGACTCCTCGATACATCTCGATTTGCTAACGCTCACGTTTTTCTAGCTCTTTCTTCTTTTTTCTGAAAATACGTTTCTCCTTTTCCCGATATTTCTCCATCGCGTTACGTGTTGCTATTGTCTGCAGGGTTGGCCTATACGCTGCTTTTTTCACATCAGTAGCATTACGACACTCCTGATCGTATCATGGATTTCTTGATGATGGTTTGTAGGGAGTGGGCATTTCTCTGCCACTGTGCTTCTATACTATTATCGGGACAAGAGGTGATTTCGTCAAGCAGTTGGGTAAGTTGAGCGGAGTAGGCTTCCTGCTATCTGTTGTGTTTGCAGCTTTTCGACGACGAGTTTCCGTGTTACATTAGATCGCACCTATGCTGCTACATTAAGACGGGTGTGTACCTTGGCTGCCACAAGGTAAATGTCCTAATCGATATTCGTTCCTCGGATCGATCGAACGTCTAATACACTGGATAAATGCCTTCCGTTTATCACAACATGATCGATTTGATTTCTCGTTGTTCGATCGGAAGAAATCCATGTGGCCTTGTGTATATCGAGATGCTTGAATCTGGTGCTGCTAACTACCATGTTTTTTGCTGCCGCGTAGTCAATCAATCTCATGCCGTTGTCTGATGTTTCTTCATGGAGGCGGAATTTTTCGACGGTGGGGCCAAAGATATTTTCCCTTTCGATTTTTGCATTAAAATCTCCTAGCAGAATTTTTATGTCATGCCCAGGGCAGCGATCATATGCTGTTTCTAGGCACTCGTAAAATATTTTTTTGGGCTGCTCATCTTTGGTCGGAGCTTGGGCGCAAATAAGACTGCTATAGAAGAACTTCGTTTTTATGCGGATTATAGCAATTCGCTCATCTACTGGAGTGAATCTGGAGACGAGGTCTTCTATTCTCCTGTTACCTATAAATTCGCAGCCAAATTCATGTCTCGTTTCATGGCAGCTATAATACAGGGCGTAATCATCGGATTTACTTACGCCAGTCCCATTCCATCGCATTTCCTGTACTTTTTGAGTACATCCGCCAAAGCGAACACTGCACCTGTTCTGTACAATCTGCGCACGTTCCAAGTGCAGATTCGCAGATCGGGGTCCTTTATACGTTTGCGGGGGTCGTCAACATTAGGGGGTATGGCACCGCTGGGAGGTCAGTGTCCACAATTGAAATGAAAGAGGGACCAAGATAAGCCTGGACTTCGCCATGTTAAAGCCAATCAGAGCCGTTGCTTGGTATCTATCATCCCCTACGCCACCCCAGGCCTCATTTAGGCTCCGAAAAAAAATCATTTAAAAAATCATCGCCTCTCCAAAAAAATATTTAGACCTCCAAAAAAATTTATGTAAAAAAAAACCATGCCATTATTTTTTTATGATATTAATTTTTGTTTTTTTTTATTTCATTCCAGCCAATTCCAAATGCTGATTTTATTGTCCCAGTGGAAATTGATGGCACCATACATCAGGTGTATGTTCTGAAACGGCCCTATGTCGATGAATTCCTACGAAAAATGGGTGAACTCTATGAATGTGTATTATTTACAGCATCACTAGCCAAATATGCAGATCCCGTTGCCGATCTGTTAGATAAGTGAGTAGTCGGAATTTTTTTTACTAATTTTTTAAAATTTCCTAAATTAATAATTTTGTTTCTTTTTTTTTGCAGATGGAACGTTTTTCGTGCAAGACTGTTTAGGGAATCATGCGTTTATTACAGGGGTAATTATATTAAGGATCTAAATCGACTGGGACGTGATTTGCAGAAAATTGTTATTGTTGATAATTCACCGGCTAGTTATATCTTTCATCCAGACAATGCGGTAAGGCAGGAAAATATTTTTTTTAATTTGAAAAAAAATATTTATTTTTTTTAAATATTTTTTTCTAGGTTCCTGTTAAATCCTGGTTCGATGATGCCAGTGATTGTGAACTCTTGGAGCTGATACCACTATTTGAGAAGCTAAGCAAAGTCGATTCTGTATATAGTGTTTTGTGCAATTCAAATAATCCATTGAACAATCACAATCAGCAGCAGCAACAACAACAACAACATTCAATACAACAACAGAACCAACAACAAACAACGCCACAGCATCAACAGCAACCGCAGCAGCAGCAACAACAACAACAACAGACCATTACAGCAACAACAATCATAACTCAAGCTTCGACACTGTCAACACCAACAATACTGACGTCACAGCAACAGCAACAACAACAAAACCAACAACAACTGCAGCAGCAGCAACAACAAACCGGAAGTCCGCCCAATCATAGTGATTTAAATAATAAAACGTAACATCAGTGGGAATTAATGTTTATAAATATTTAATTATTTTTTTTACATATTATCAAAAAACAACAACAATATATATTATTCGTATATATATGAAAAAAAGATTAATTATTAATTTCATTTATATTTTGTTTACAAAAAAAAATCAAAATACATACATAACTTATATATAATGTTTATTATCCTCTTTTTTCTTCCTTTTGCTAAAAACAATAACAAAAAAAATCAATAATTACTATAATTTTATTATAATTTTTTATTTTATATATATCAAACGATTTTATTTATTATTTTTCCCCCTTCTCTCTCCCTTGTGTTTGTAAATTTATTATTATTTTGAAGTTCAAATTATTTTTTTTTTCTTCTTTCACTATATGTTTAAATTAATCAAAAAAAAAAAGGAAATGATTTCTTCAATTGTAAATTCTAATCTAAATTTGAGTTATGCTATGCAAATGTGTGTGTTTGTTTTATGTCTTCTTCTTATTTTTAACAAGAAAAAAAATATATAAAACAACAACAGAAAACAAACTAAATATGGCATATTATTTTTTATTCTGTACACTAAAACAAAGTCTGGGACCAAGAAGAAAAAAAAACGGACAAATTTGTAACCCCCCTTTTTTATACTCTTAATACTTATTATACAGATTTCTTTTATTCCGGGACCCATAGTGAAATTTGATATAGAATATTTTTTCCATTGACAGCATTTTGCTAAAATAAATTTTTGTAGGAGATTTTCGACAATTCGGAATTAACCTTAAAAATCAAAAAGAAATGAAATATGTTGTAAATTCAAATTTGGATGGACGCATTTTTGGGGATATGTATTACAGATATAGCTATCTTTTGTTCAGTGACCCCCATTGAAATTTGATGTAGAACAATTCCTTCATTGACACGAAACACCTAAAATAACGTTTTATGTGAAAATTTTGACAAATTCAAATTAACCTTAAAAAGGAAAAAATGACATTTGTAGAGTAAAATTAAATTTGGTCAGGTATCCTTATTTTAATAAATATGAGAGTTAGAGATTTCTTTTTTTCAGTAAACTCCATTGAAATTTAATGTAGAACAATTCCTCCTTTGATACCCAGGCTCTATAATGAAGTTTTGGGGAAAACATAGGCCAAATCGAACTTAACCTTTAAAAGTAAAAAATTAAATTCTCGTTGTAAAATTATATTTTGTTAGGTATTCTTATCTTAATAAATATGGGAGTTAGAGCTTTCTTTTGTTCAGTGAACTCCATTGAAATTTGATGTAGAACAATTCCTCCATTGACAACCAGCCTCTACAATGACGTTTTATGGGAAATTTAGGGCAAATTCAAATTAACCTTAAAATGTAAAAAAAGTTAATTCTTATTGTGAAATTATATTTGGTTAGATGTTCTTATTTTAATAAATGTGAAAGCTACAGCATTCTCTTGTTCAGTGACCCCTATTGAAATTTGATGTAGAACAATTCCTCCATTGACATCAAACCCCTACAATATAGTTTTGTGGGAAATTTTGATCAAATTCAAATTAACCTTAAAAAGAAAAAAAATGAAATTCTCATTGAAAAGTTCTTATTTGTTAGGAGTTCTTATTTTAATAAATATGAGAGCTACAGCCTTCTTTTGTTCGGAGACTCCCATTAAAATTTGATGAAGAACAATTCCTACATTGACACCAAGCCCCTACAATGAAGTTTTCTGGGAAATATAGGCCAAATCGAAATTAGCTTTTAGAACTAAAAAAAGAAATTTGTGTTGTAAAATTAAATTTTGTTAGGTATTCTTATTTTAATAAATATTGGAGCTACAGCGTTCGCTTGTTCGGAGACTCCCGTTAAAATTTGATTAAGAATAATTCCTCCATTGACATCAAACCCCTACAATATCGTTTTGTGGGAAATTTTGATCAAATTCAAATTAACCTTAAAAATTAAAAAAAATGAAATTCTAATTGCAAAGTTACTATTTTTAGGTGTTCGTATTTTAATAAATATGAGAGCTACAGATTTTTTATGTTCTATATCCAGTAATGAAATTCGATGAAGAACAATTTCTACATTGACATCAAACCCGTACAATAGCCTTTTGGGGGAAATTTTGCCCCAATTCCGATTAACCTTAAAAATGCAAAAAATGTATATTTTACTTTAATTATACAATTTTAAATTGGTATATTTTATTGATTTATATTAGAGATACACATTTATTTTCTTCAGACACCTCTATTAAAATTTAATGAAGAACAATTCCTGCATTAACACCAATCCCCTACAATAACGTTTTGTGGGAAATTTTGCCCAAATTCAAATTAACCTTAAAAAGTAACAAAATTACATTTCCATTGTAAAATTATTTATTTGTTATGTGAAATTATTTTCAAAAATATACAAGCTACAGATTTCTTATGTTCAGTGGCGTATAGTAAAATTTAGTTTAGAATATTTTTCTTCACATTAATGGAAACTGCCTAAATTGTCGTTTTGTGAGAGATATTGGCCAAATTCAACTTAACCTTAAAATTGACTAATTAAATAATTGTTCCTTATCAATTCAAATTTTGTTTAGCATTTTTTTTTTTTTTTTTTTGGTTATCTATTATACATACGGACTTTATTTGTTCACAGACCTGTACTAAAATTTTCTGAGGAATATATCTTTATTTAATACCAAGCCCCTACAATGCATTGTTGTGGGAGTTTTTGACCCAATTTTAAAATACCTTTAAATAAACCAATTTTATAACATATTCCACATACATCGCAATTTGATACAGCTATTTTCTTGATATTTATGCCACCTACAGATTTCATACATTCAGTGATTTATAGTGAATTTGTGTATAGAATATTTTTCTCATTGACAAAATATGCCTAAAACGAAGTTTTGTAGGAAATTTTGACCGAATTCAAATTAAACTTAAAAACCAAAAAAATATATTTTACTCCATATTTTCAATTTAAAATATGTATTTTTTTATTTATATTACACATACAGAATTTTTCTAAAATACAGAATGGTTTCTAAAATTTGATGTAGAATATTTTTCCCATTGAGACCTGCTTCGTGTTGTGAAGCATTATGGGAGATTTTGGCTAAATTGGAAATTAACTAAAAAATGATTTTGTTCACATGAGGCCAATTTGATATGGATATTTCCGCGATATTTATAGCTCCTAGGTATTACTCATACTCAGTGTCCTATACTGAAATTTGGTATAGAATAGTTCTCCTATTGGCATCTTCTGCCTAAGATGACTTTTTGTGGGAAATTTTGACCAAATTCAAATTAACCTCAAAAATAAAAAAATACAAAAATTTTCCATTGTAAGCCAAGGTTTTGATAGCAGGATGTTTCTTGACATGTATGCGAGCTACAGATTTCTTTTGTTCGGCGACTCATATCGAAATTTTTTGTAGAATATTTTTTACTTTGACATCTTCTGCCAAAAATCAGGTTTTATGGGGAAATTTGGGCCAAATTCAAATTAACCTTAAAAGGGAAAATCAAAAATATTTCTTTTTAAAAATATAAATTTCAATATTCTGATATTATTGATATCTATTAAAAATATTGATATATTTTGTTCTGTGACCCCTACTAAAATTTTCCGTAGAACATTTCCTTCATTAACACCAAGACCCTACAATGCAATATTATAGGAGATTTTGGCACAATTTGAAATGAAACTTTAAAAATATAAATTTTGTAGTTCTCTCACATAAACCCCAATTTTATACTGTTTTTTTTTTCTCGATATTTATAAAACCTAGAAATTTTTAATATTCAGTGACCTATTGTGAAATTTGGTATAGAATATTTTTCCCATCGGTATCATCAACCTAAAATGACGAATTGTACGAAAATATTCTCAAATTCAAACTAACCTAAAAAAGGCAACTGTAAATGATTAAATATTCAGAATTATCCAAAAAAAACTTTTTCCTAAATTCAAGGTTTTCAATTTTAATTACGAAATCATTTCTTGATAATTTAAACAATTTTGTTTTTTTTTAATTTTTATTAATTATGTTTATATAAATATAACTAAAAACAAATAATTTCATAAAAAATATACAACCATTAAGCTGTATGTAATATTATATATATGTATACATATTATATATACTGGTAAGGGAATATATATTAAAAAAATTAAAACAACAACAAAATCCCCCCTCTTTAACTTAAAAAGTGTAACAAAACTGATGTAACAAAGAGAAAATGAAAACTAAAACTCTTTAAAAAAATAATCTAAAAATAAAAAGCAAAAACTATATATTTGCAATAAATTAATAATAATGGAAATCCATAAAACAATAAATATATAAAAAAAAATATTATAATAAAATATTTATATATATTTTTTTAATAAAATGAAAACAAAAAAGAAAATAAAAAATAATAACAAAATAAAACTATTTTTAATACCAATCTTAATTATATATATACACTGGCAAGAAAAAAACAACAACAAAAAGCATTAACAAAAAATAACCTTAAACTTATATACAACAAAAAATAAATAAAAAATTACAAAAAAAAAATAAATCTCCCCAAATATTGAAATTTTATTATTCAACGTAACCCTGCTGCCCCCTAAACATATATTTATAACGAAAAAAATAATTATTTTTATTAAAAAAAATATTTTTTGACATTCATTTTAATATGTTTTTATTAATAATAATTGTGTTGTAAAATAATGTAAGTGTATGAGTGTTTTCTATTATTATTATATTTGGTAACCTTGTCTCTGCCCCTCAACCTCTTCCCCTCTTAGTAATTTCATTCTTATTTATAAATAAGTTTTAATTTTTTTAGTATATAAAAAAGTAATTTATATATTAAAATAATTTCATAACATATTTGTTTATTTTTATTATTAAATTGCAATAATAACAATATATAAATATATACAAATTTTATTTTGTAATTTTTTAATTTATAATTAACTAAAGAAAATTAAATTTTATGATTTAAGTTAAATATTCGCAACAACATCAAAAAATCAACACCAACCAGAAAAATCAATCAGAAAACGAAAATCAAAATGTTAATAAAGTTTTAATTTTTAC